AAAACACCCTTTTAGATACCTCACTCCATTGTGAAAACTGACCATTTATTCCTACCCTCCCCCCTCCAGTCAGTTAAGTCGTTATTTATTCACTCTGATTCCATGGCAGCTTCCTTTGCTTACGGGCCTTTAGTGAGGGGCCTTGTCAAAAATCAGCAGGACCAGATGGCATTAACCTAGGAGTACACTGTACCCACTGGATCATCAGCCTTGTCCACATGTTTGTTGACCCCCTCCAAGAATTCCAGTAGATTGATGAGGCATGATTTCCTTTTATAAAAACCATATTGAATTTTGCCCACTGTTTTGTGTTCATCATGATAAGACACGGATGTCCTTTGCGATACCAAGCGTTTTCCTGGTGCTAAAGATAGGCTTCTTGGTCTGCAGTTGTCAGGATCGCTTCTGGAGCCTGTTGTAGAACTTAGCATCACGTTAGCTACCCTCCAGACTGTTGGGAGAGAGACTGAGTTATATACTACGGTTAGTCGTTCTCCAATTTCATAGCTGAGCTCCTTCAGAACTCTTAGGTGAATGCCATCTGGTCCTGGTGACTTTTTACTGTTGAATGTATTAATGTGTTCAAAAACCTCCTCTATTGATACCTCAGGCTAGGACATTCCTCGTATCTATCACCTAAAAAGAATGGCTCAGATACAGGAATCTCCCTCGCAGCCTCTGCAGCGAGGACCAATGCAAAGAATTCATTTAGCTTCTCCACAACAGCCTGGTCTTCCTTGAGTGCTTCTTTATCCCCGTGAGTGTCCAGAGGCCCCACGGATTGCTTGGCAGACTTCCTGCTTCTGATGTACTTAATTATTTGGCCGTTCGTACTCGTGTTTTTTGCTAGTTGCGCTTCAATTTTTTTCCTCTGCCAAATTATACTTATACATTTGACTTGTCAGAGTTTGTGCTGGTTTTTATTTTCTTCTCGAGGACCTGACATTCAATTTTGAAAGGTCTCGTCTTGTCTCCGACCACCTCCTTTTTGCTGTTATTGAGCCACGGTGGCATTTTTTGGGTCCTCCTCTTTTGTAAAATTTTGGGGACACATTTGGTGTGAGCCTCTCTTATGGTGTTTTAAAATTGTTTCCGTCAGCTTTCAGGCCTTTCACTCTTGTGATTTTATTTATTGAGCTTCCTCATTTTTGTGCTGTTCCCTATTTTTGAAGGTAGGCGCTGCTAAGGTGATCTTTTTTTCCCCAATACGGAGAAATTTAATTAAGGATGATTTAACATGTAAGCACGTTGAATTGAATTACATTATGGGCTCTTTTGCTGAGTGGCTCTGCTATCGTCACCACTTGGACCACATCATCCTTGGACTAGCTGCTCCAAGAAGCAGTCATCAATGGTGTCTGGAAATTTTCTCTCTGCCTCGCGTCCTCTCCTCCGATGACATGTCCCCAGTCAATATGGGTGTAGTTGAAATCCCTCATTAATTATTACTGAGATTTCTGTTTTCGTAACCTCTCTGATCTCCATGAACTTTTCATAAGTCATCATCCTGGTCAGATGGTTGATGGTGTATTCCTACTGCTATCCTCCTTACTATTCAAGCACGGAATTTCCATCCATAGGGATTCTGTTGCCTAGTTCGATTCATTTCAGGTTTCGACTGTATTTGACTCTACGCTTCCTTTAACACACAATGCCACAGTTCGTATATATTCTGTTTCCTGGTATTACCACGTCCCATTGATGATCACGTTTCTGGGGTGCCTGCTCTATCAACATTCTCATTTAATGTCAGGCACTTTGCCATTTGAATATTCAGCCTTCTACAAGCACTGAGAAGATGCATCAATACCTTCCAGGGGTGCAGTTGGATGGACTCTCTTTCATTTGACTGTTTCTCTTCAGTTACTACTTGCACTTTATCAGCTTCTAGCCTCTCCTCTTCCTCCGGATAGAGAGAATCCACATTACTCAGCCTTTGCCTGCGGGAAGCCTGTGTCCTACCCATGTGCTATTCAGTACATGTTGGCTTTCCCCCTACTTTTAGTTTAAAATTTCTCCCATGCCCGTTCTACTGTCATAGAACTGGAAGGGACCTGGAGAGGTCATTAAGTTCGGTCCCCTGCCCTCACGGCAGAACCAAGCACCATCAAGAACCTCTTTAACGTGCCAGCAGTCTGGTTCTGTTAGGTAGAGTCCGGTTTTCCCATACAGGCGCTTCCTTTCCCAAAAGGTTCCCAATAAACCTAAATCCTTCTGCCGAGGATCGTCGTCTCATCCATGCCCTGAGACCCTGCCTGCCTGGCCCTGCACCAGGAACTGGAAGCATTTCAGAGAATGCTACCAGCGAAGTCCTGGAATTTCATCTCTTAGGGTACGTCTAGACTACGTGGGTCCGTCGACGGAGCCGTGTAAATTTGTTTGTTTGGCAAAGGGAAATGAAGCCGCGATTTAAATAATCGCGGCTTCATTTAAATGTACATGGCTGCCCCGCTCTGCTGATCAGCTGTTTGTCGGCAGATCGGGGCAGTCTGGACGCTCCCCTGCCGACATGAAAGCCCTTTATCGACCTCCCCGGTAAACCTCATCCTACGAGGCATAACGGGGAGGTCAATAAAGGGCTTTCAGGTCGGCGCGGGAGCGTCCAGACTAGCGCGCTGAGCCGACAAACAGCTGATTAGCTTTTTGTCGGCTCAGCGTGGCAGCCATTTAAATGTAAATGAAGCCGCGATTATTTAAATTATTTAAATCGTGGCTTCGTTTCTCTTTGCCGATCAGCCTAATCTCCATGGCTCCATCGATGGAGGCATGTAGTTTAGACACACCCTTACCGAGTAGCTAATTTTGCCCCCAGGACCTCTCTCCTACCTTTCCCTCCGTCGTTGGTACCTACATGTACTACCACCACTGGCTGTTGCCTTGCAAGGCAAGTAAGCCTATCTAGACGTCTGGAGAGTCCACAACCTTCACACCCCACAGTCGGTTCTCCTGGTCATAAACCCAGCTTCATACATTGCTAAGAATCAAATCCCTCCTTACTGTTACCCGTCTCTTCCTCAGAGGGATACCCTCCGTGTGAGGGGGTACCGTGACGTCTTCTGGAAGGAGAGTTCCCACTATGGGATCATTTCCCTCTGTTCCATTCTCCTTCCCCAAAACATCCATTCTCCTGAGCAGCACAGAGGCAAATATATATGCAAATATATGCAAATAACTTTTCATACTGAAGGGCATGAATACAAAGATTAAGGCAAGATTGTACAACACGCAGGCCCCATTTCAGTCAGTTCTGCTGATATTCATAAAATGCAATAGTTACCCCGTTTCCACCCATATGACAGCACTTCGAATGAGCAATGACAGTCCTGGAATTGAACTCCTAAAAGGCCATTCTAGTGACTCCTTTTTTGTTTTGGCTCCCACCCGTGGGCCGCACGTTGAGTCCCGTGTAAACCCAAACTGCACCATGGGCCACAAACAAACGGGACCTCCCGCGGCTGGTGCAGGAGCGCCCCCTGCAGTCCTTTTGCCAGGGCCTTGCTCGCTCCCTGTTTGCCCCCACTCCTCTCGGCTTCCCAGCCCATACTCAGGAGTGCAGCTCCGGCCCTCCCCCGGCGAGACAGGACTGCCTGGGTTCTCTGCCAGGCTCTGGAACAGGCTCGCTGGGGCAAGCCAGGTGACTTCTGTGTGTGCTGCCTTCGTGCCACTCTGAGCCTTCCCCGCTGCAGCTCGTAACCTCCAGAGCAGCCTGGTGGCAGCGTTCTCAGTCAGGGGCGCGCCTGCGTGGCGGCGCACAAAAAATTCTTCCCTTGCCTGCCTGCCCTGGAGAGCTGCACGGGCGCTCCGGCGGGCGGGGCTGGCTGAGACAGCATAGTGAGGGAGCCGCTGGGGCGGGCGGTCGTGCCACTCTGAGCCTTCCCCGCTGCAGCTCGTAACCTCCAGAGCAGCCTGGTGGCAGCGTTCTCAGTCAGGGGCGCGCCTGCGTGGCGGCGCACAAAAAATTCTTCCCTTGCCTGCCTGCCCTGGAGAGCTGCACGGGCGCTCCGGCGGGCGGGGCTGGCTGAGACAGCATAGTGAGGGAGCCGCTGGGGCGGGCGGCGAGTGGCATGGGGGTGGTTTGCTCGGGCAGCTGGGAGCGTGTGTGTGTTAATCAGCCGGGTGCCATGGTGGCCCGTATCCAGACCAGCGCCCGTGGCCTCGATATTGGTGCACAAGCCAAAACTCGCTCTGGAAAATCTGAGAGGGAACCCGCCTGGCGGAATCATTTTCCAAAGTTCATCGGGGCTGCCCTTGCTTGTCGCCCCCCAGCTGCGTATGGGCTAAGCCTGCAACGTGGCCCCTCAGGGCTTCCCTTCAGGGACCGAACTGTGGCGGGAAAAGCCTGCGCTTAGGCCCCTGGGTTGGAGGAAGCTGGTCCAGAGATGCCCCATCCCTGTGGCACGAGTGAGGGCAGCAGCTTCAGCAGACCTTACCGGGCATGCTCAGTCTGTGAGAGCCTGCTCAGTCCAAGCGGGGGCGCACGACCCCACCCCTTCTCGCCCCACAGGTCACCTCAGAGCCGGGACGCTGGAACTGTCTTTAGAATGGGGGGCAGCCCTCCCAGCCCCCCCATGTTCCAGCCCCGATGCCTGAGCTGAGCTTAGGTCAAAGTCAGTCCCGCCGCCAGGAACCATTTTGTGAGACTCAGCGTGCGTCCCCCTTTCCTCGCTCTAGTCCATTTCCTCCTCGGGACGCCCCCCGGGGCACCCTGGCAGCTCCCCCCCCGCCCCCCT